CCTCCTCCTCCTCCTCCTCCTCCTCCTCCACATCCCCAGCCAGGCGTATACGAGCGCTCTCCAATTGCGCCTTGGCCTCATCAAACTGCACACCTGCCAATTTGGAAAGACGTTGCATCTCGTTGGCATCTAGCGCATACTTTGTCGGGTTGCGCGCCGCCAAGCCGCGAGAGACCCATGCTGTTGAGGAGATCATTGTGCAAGAGGTGTAGGCGCGGGTGGGCGTACAAGCGAGCCAGCTTTTGACGGAGAGGCAGGGTCGAGCTGCGGGTGCGTTTGCGAGTGCGAGTGCGAGTGCGGATGCGGATGCGGCTGCGGCTGTGATGCTGGTGGAGAAGAAGAAGAAGAGGGGAAAAGTGAGTGGAAGAGGGAAAGAGTGGCAGTGGCAGTGCAGTGGCAGTGCAGTTGGACAAAGTCACGTGTTGAAGGAGAGTCTCGAGTGCGAAACAGAAGAGGGGAGGGCAGACGGGGCAGAGAAGTTGCTGGATTGCGGCGGGGCCGTGAGCGTTGGGGTGGGGGTTGTGATGTGATGTGATGTGATGTGATTGTGATTGTGATGGCGATCGGTGGAGTGGGGCAGGCTTGATGCGCGCAGTGACAGTCAAGTGTTGAGTGCGTGGATGGATGCCTGCGCACGCGCACACGAGTGTCTGTCTGTCTTGGCACGCCAAGTTCTTGATTTTACAAAAATTTGGGCAGGGCGAGCGAGCGTGTCACGTGCTCAGGCAGCGTCACGTGAGCGTGAGTCTGCAGTCAAAGTAGCGCGACCGCGAGTGAGTTGCACTCGTGCACGTACCGCGGTGTACAGTAGGTACGCCACGGGTGAGTAAAGCACAGCGCAGCACAGCGCAGCACAGCGCAGCACCACAACTAACTCATCGACGAACGGCAACAAGGAACGACTGGCTTGCGACTCTACCCCTCGACTCACACTCTCCCTTCAACGACCCCTCCCGCGCCAAGCAACAGCGAATCGTCGTCTTGCTGGCAGAGAGCAGCGACGCATACACGCGCTCACAATGTCCAGCGCAACCAGCCCTTTGACGCCTGTGCGCGCAGGCGAGCGCGAACGCGATCAAGTCGCATCCAGCAGCAGCTCTCCCTTTAACTTCAGCTCGCCGCTGAGTGGACGCAGAAAGAGACATGCCAGGAGCGCGGCTGTGACGGGATCCGCTTCTGGCGCTGAAGCTGAAGCTGGAGGGGTAGCGGGGGGAATGGGAGTGGGAGTGGGAGTGGGATCCTTCATTCCCCACACGCACTCTTCCACCACCACCGCCACCTCCTCCTCCTCCTCTGCTGCTTCTCCCTTCCTCTCTTTCAAGCCGCACAGCACCAGCACCTCCACCTCCCTGCAAAACGATCCCGACACGCTTCTTTGCACTCTTTCGCTAAAGGAAGTGCAACAAATACAGAGGGATGTTCAGGTTGAAAAAGAGTCGCTTTCGCAAAGCTTGAAAGGGTTGGTCAGGAAGAGGTATGCGGATCTCTTGAATAGTGCCGATACCATCATTGCGATGGGAAGTAGCGCTGCTGGGCTCAGCAACGCTTTGGCACAGGTCAGCTGGGCGTGTGCTGGTGCAGATGCAGGTGATGGGGCGAATGCAGGTGGAAAGCAGGCTGAACACGATCAGCATCAGACGACGACGACGACGACGATGGACGAAGAGGAGAAAAGGCTGTTGGGGTATACGAGCTGCCTCAAGTACATTCAAGAGAGCCCACCCATCGTCTGGGCTTGTATTGGCCTGGTGGAGCAATACGCGAATGGTCACATAGTCTCGCGCATTGCGGTAGCAGGGCAGCACGAGCATGCGCAAATGGAGATCGCACGCCATGAGGAAAGGGGAGGCGAGAAAGAGGAGGAGGAGGAGGATGTGCCTAGCAGGGTCATTCGTGTCGCTTGGAGGTTGCGCATATGCCAGGCTTGCTGGGAGGTTGTGCAGGCGCGTCCGGATGTATGCGTGAGTGGCCTGCTGGGCAAATGCATGTGTGTGGCTGCGGGATGTTGAAACGTACTCATGCGAGAGCGGACGTCTCTTGCTCATCCCTGCTTTTCGGCAGAACATGTTCCCCTATATCCAGGAGATCTATACCGCATTAGACCCTTTATGCATACGCTTGCGCCATGCCATAGAATCGCTCTTGAGGGTGCAAATGGCTTACAAGGTGAGCACCTTGTGCGCTCGCTCTTGCATCTTGCGCTCAATCAAGGCTTTGCCAGCTAACGAGCAAAGACGCTCGTGTCCTGCACCACGCCGCCCCGCACGCTACACCAATCAGCCCACTTTGACTCTTCTACTCTCCCAGCAACTCCTCTCCTCCCACTCATCAAAGACGACGACGACGACGACGACGACGACGACGGCGACGACTTTCTCACTAGACAATCTCCTGCGCGCCCGTCTCGCATCCTTACGTCTCCTCTTGGCCGATCAACCGACGCCTCACCTTTCCCACTCGCACTCCAAGTCAAAGTACGCACATGCGCTGAGGCTGTTCGCAAAGACTGTGCTGCAGGTGCTGCATGCCTTTATCCTTGTCGTACAGACGGGAGAAGCAAACAAGACGCGCTTTGAAAAGCTGCTGGAGCGTCTTTGGACGCCTGCTGTAGAGACGGCAGGGCACAATTCGAACGGCACATTATCGGCATCAAACGTCGCGCGCGCAAGAAGAAAGAGCTCGTCGATCACTGCAGGTGCGGGTGCGGGTGCAGGTGGAGCGAACAAGAAACTGCGCCAAGAGATCGACACCAGCACACGTTTTCCTCCTACCGCCTACGATGCCATTCATGCGGAATTGGATCAGCAGCGATCAGGGACACACGGCATGGCTTGGGACTTACCAAACGATGTGCTGCGATGTTTACCGCGCACAGCGAGACCTTGCAATGAGGGACCTAGAGAGAGCAGAAGCGCGCTGAGGGAGTGGGTGGAGCAGGTCAAGAGACTTTTCAAGGAGACGAGGTGGGAGGGCACGGGTACGAATGTGGAGCCAAGGACGCTGGTGCAGCTCTTGCACGCTGAAGATGAGCTGCAAAAGAGCTGGAAGGAGTGCTTGAGGGAGGTGCGTAGCGTGCGCAAGGGTCGAAATGGACAGGCGGACGATGAAGAAGCTTTGAATTGGGCGCTGGAAATCTGCGAGGAAGCGCACGAGGATCTGTTGGAGAAGATGAGGGAGAAGAGGAGAGATCTGCACAAGGCCTCTGTTGAGCGTCTGGGAAGAAAGGTGCAGGAATTCGTAGTGGATCTGCAAAAGGAGGAATTGGTACATGATGCGAGACGCTTGCTGTTCGACTCTTCGACTCGCATCACTGGCACGAGCACGGATTTGGTGGAAGAGTTGATCGAGGCTGAACCGGCCCTGCGAGAGTGTTGGAGCGAGCTTGTAGCGCTAGCACACAAGGTCGCGTGGGAGCTGCAGACGTACCTACGAAGAAAGGCTCGAAGACGGGACTGCGATGCGCGGCGCGTTGCTTCGCACAAGGAGCGAGATGAAAGCGAGGAGAAGAGTCTGCATCAGCGGACGTCACGCTCGCAATCGCACTTGCGCTCCGACGAGGACATGTTAGATGCGCAAGTTGGACAAGAGGAAGTGCAACGATGCGCAGAGATGCTTCGATCGTTGCTGCGCGAGCAGACAATGAGGAGCGCGGAGATTGCGATTGGAAGAGTGGCTGCATGCCTGTCGCGCCACGAGGCGATCAGGCGCGCGCTATATCCCTCGACGAGCGAGCGCGATGATGTAGGGGTGATGCGACCTCTGAAAGCGGTCAGAGAAGAATCTCTAAAGGCTTGGGAAGCGCAAGTGTATGGAGACGTTCTGCTTCTCTCCACGCTCGCCCCGGGAGACGTTGCGCCGGAGGAGCAGGAAACGCTCTCCACAACGCTTCGAAGAAAATGTCTGCTGCTCGTGGCGGAGAGAGCGCACGCGATGCATCTGGACTTGGCGGACCGGGAAGAGAGCGCTAGCGTGCAGCGCATACTGCAACGTCTAGTCGATGCTGGTCGGATCACGCAGGACACTGTGGATGAGTTTGGTCGCTCAAAGGAGACGAACGATGCGTCGGCCGAATGGATGGAAGAAGCCGGCTTGGATCTCTTTCCTTTGTTGCGACACGATTCGACGACAAAGACGACAAAATCGCTCGACCTTGCCCGCGCTGGCAATGCCAAGATGGACGTCAAGAAAGTGCACAACGCTACTACTGCGAAGCATATCCAACCCTTGTTGGACCTGGCAGAGACGAGCGATTTCGCTCAGCTACCGCCTGTCAGGCTTCAAGGTCTCGCTTAAACGCCGCTGAAATGCGTCCTACGAAGCGCGAAGCACGATTTGGACGCCCGCCCGCGCGCGATGCTCGCTGCTCGACGACTTTCGTGTCTGATGGTGCGACCCGACCCGTTTGTGGGCGCGTGTGAAATGAGATGCTTGATGCGTGAGCGCAAAGGCAACCAACCTTGCAGAGCAACTCGACGGCGGTACGTCGGTTGTGATGTGTTTCGGCGTGGCTCACTGTTCGAACAATGATGTCGATCAAGTCGTGACGGACGAGGGTCAAGAGCTTGGCGCCGATCGCTAGGTGCATGCACGACGCAAACCCGCACGCACGCACGAGACCGCTGCGCCGAGCTGCATCTCGCGATTGTGCGCACACACGCACACCCGCGCACACCCGCCATCGTCCTCAACATCACCATCACCATTAGCGATCATGGGGATCAGCCATCATCCACTCGACTGACTGCTTCCAACGAACACTGTCTCTTGCATCTCTTCACAAACGCAAAAACTTTTTTGAATTCGGGAAAAAATGGTCTTGTCCGGTCTGTATCCTGCCTTGAGGCTTTCACGAGAGAAGAAGGAAATCGAACGGGTGTTCAAGAGGCACGAGGAGAAGAAGGGGGCAAAGAGGACAAAGGCGGGAGCGGGTGAAGCGGGGTCATCGAGATGTGATTTGGCCGCTGGAGCGGACGAGAGGAGGAGTACGGGTGGCGCACAGATGGGCATCAGTCCTACAGCTGGAACTAGTCAGGAGACTTTGCCTACCTACCAGAGTGCGCTCGAGGCGCCTCGCGTGCAGCAGTAGACGAGTGAGTGGAAGAGCGAAATGTTGATTCAGAATACGCAACCATGCAGGCTTCACGCTGATGTGTGCACGACTTGATCGCTCTGAGCGCGTTTCAAATTTGCATTCTGGTGGGATTGCGACTCTCTACGGACAGCTTGCTGCGCCGCCCTACGACTTCCATTGCGAGACATCATCATACTGAGCCTGAGTCAGCGGCTTGACCACACCGTGCTTGAGCAGGGGAGGAAAAGCGCCAGTGACACCTCTGTCCGTGTATGCGTACTTTGTGATGCCGTTATCAGCAGTGTAAGGATAATAACCAGCCGGATTCCTACCGTACTGGTCCAAAAAGATCCACCACTTGTTGACATCGATGTTGTCCTGGAAGAACAAGCAAGCTTCGGATTGATCATCGTTATCGACGTACTGGTTCGATGCGCCTATGTCCTCCCATGCACCTTGAACGCCCGTTGTGGATACTTGACCTCGACACTTGTACACGTTTTCTTCCTTGAAGAATCGCACGTACTCGTTGGCGTTGGAGGGATTGTTGGTCGAGTGGATCGTCATGTCGATCACGCCAATGTTGTTGCCGCGGTCCAGGTAGAGTTCGGGTGAGGTGAACGTCTTGAAGTCTGACGTGTACGAGCTGAGCCGATGCATGACGGGATCATACAGGTGAGCCCTCGTGCTACTCATCAACGGAGCACTCGCACGCATCGCCATTCGCGACTCACGTATAGATCTTGTCGTAGTCTGGCTCGCCAGTGTGCTGCGCGTCGGCATAGCGGTTGGACGACCAGTAGACCAAAAATTGGCTCTTTGCCGCATCCCACACTGCTTCGGGAGCCCAAGCCATCTACGGGTTCGGGTTCGGCAGCGAGGCTATCATCAGCTGGGTCACCTAGCTCCACACGCATCCTCACCCGCTCCGTTTGCGCAGCCTGGCTCGCTCACTCTGAACTCTTCTGGCACAACTTCGACCAGTCTGGGAGCGTTCCACTTGGTCAAGCTGGCACCTTGGCTATCCCAAATGACGAGACTTCTGCTCAGAAACTTTCCGCCGAAACCACCGACGGCGGTCTGGTTCAGATCCGTGGCGATGATGTAGTGTTGACTTTCGTCCGGCTTGGAGACGAGGTACATGTCGCGCACGGCCTTTGTGCCCACATTGGAAGTCAAAAGCGGAGCTCCACCGTTCAGAGGCTTGTAAGCCGTCGCATCGTTGCCGTCACTGATATGAGCAAAGATTTGTTCGCCTGCTGGATAGGTGCTGTAATCTCCTGGAGACTTGTAATTATCGTAAAAGTGAACAAAGAGGTAACCCACTTTGGAGCTTTGACGACGATGAGGTGAACCACTCGTCAGCGCTACCGCAATGGTCAGCAGACCCAAGAGCGGAAGCAGAATGTAGCGATAGGAGCTCATATTTGGTTGGTCCAAGATGGGTCACGAGGGCAAGGACAAACGATGATCGCCGGATGGGGGTTGCACGGAAAGCAAGGAGCCAAAGTCGAGCGCTTCGACAGCGCTCATTTATAGCCGGCGAGGGGCCCTTACGAGCCCCCCTGGAGGCCCAGAAAGGTGCAGCGAGCCTGGCAAAAGGTGTTAGCTGCGAGGCGCCACAAATAGAAACACCTTTGACCGCCCAGGGCAAAGTGTGTGTTCTGAACACTCGCTCACCAAACAAAGTGTGCGTCGAAACGCCAATCGGGTTGACAATGGCGCGCCAGTCTGCGCTGATCATCCCGCGGAATTTGAGTTCCGTTCGGACGGAGATGTGCATCTAGCGCGCGCGCCAAGCTTCAGGAGGACGAGGCGACAAAGTCGCTTCCAACTGATTTCTTGATGGCTCGTGATTGCGAAAAGAAGCTAGAGGGGCACTCCAAAATGATGATGGTGAGCATAGTGCGGGGAGTGAGCTGCACACTGTACCCCACATTCGGAGATTTGAAGATTACCGGCACCCTTCGTTTCCCCTGCCGCATGCATGCATATCGACGCGCTCGCGTTTGCAAGATCTCCGAAGCCGTGCAGGCACTCGCTGCCTTCAACCACCATGGGCAGCAGTCTCGTAGCTCACGCTCGCGGCACTCGGGAATCCCCCAACATTCATCATCGGCATTGAGAGTCGTATCCTGCGCACAGCGCTCAATGTGGTAGTGGTGATGGAGGTGTCATCGGCAAGGTCGCTCGTTTCGTCTATGCGAAAGGACGGCCCTTGCAGCTCGAGCCGAGGAAGTGGAGTGTGTGGAGTGTGTGGAGCAGAGAAATCCTAGAACAGAACGAGGTCATGCCTGCCTTTTGTCTACTTTTGGGAGGTGGTCTGATCTGGAGTGGAAGTTGGATCCGACTGGTCAGCCTGCTGGGGAGCAGATCCGGTATCCGCAGGCGTGCTGGAGTCAGGGGTCGCGGGTTCCTGCGAATTGGTCCCCTTTGGAGTGCTGTCCGATGCGCTTCCTGGTTCTGAGAGCTCGTCGGCCTGCTTGATCTTGTCCGAAGGTTGCTTTCCGTCCGTCGTCTGATTCGCGTCCACAGGCTGTTCCGCAGTCGTCGCCTTGTCCGCCTCGTGAGACTTCTCTTTCTTCTCCTCACAATCAGGAGTGTCGGACTGTGTAGGTGTCTGCCCAACTTCAGGGACCGCCTTGGCCGTCTTGTTCTTTTCGTCAGAGTCGAACAGAGCATTAGGGAACCAGTCTCCAGAGCCCTCATCGCCAAAGAACTTGTCATCCGGGATAAAGTCGTTCAAGTCCACGCCGTCCAATCCGGGAATCTTGCCGAGGCCCGGAATCTTGAAGCCTTTGTGCTCCTTGCCTTGCTCTGACCCCGCTTCGTCTCCATTCGGCTGACCCGATGGCGTGTCCTCCTTCTCGGGCTCCTGACCGCTTTGTGAGGGATTCGTGGCACTGGGCTCAGAGGTCGGCTCAGAGTCCTTCGGCTCGTCGTGCGGCTCTGCATTCGAATCGCCGTCCTGGAGCTTGGCTTCGCCAGAACCCGCCTTGCCTTTATCCGTGGGCTTTTCGTCGCCCGACCCCTTGTTCGTGCTAGCATCGTGATCCTTGAATGGGTAAGCGTCCTGATCCTCTTGCGGCTGGGTGTCAGGGGTCGATGGGTCGGTGCCCGAAGCCTTGCTGTCTGGAGAGCTCTTGTTCGCAGTCGTACCATCGGGCTGCTCCGATGGTGTACCGCCGCTGCTGCTACCGTCGTCCGGGTTGGATTCTTGGCTGGCTGGAAGGCTCTTGGAGGAACCTTGATCAGTAGGTTGCGTTGTAGATGGCGTCGATGTGCTGCCGTCAGGGTTCGCAGAAGGCTCTGCAGTCGTCTTGCCGTCAGGCGTAGTGTGAGTGCTGCTGTCGGGCTTGGTGTCCGGGGTAGTCGAAGTGCTGCCATCCGGGTTCGATGTCGAGGGAGCCGACTTGGTGGAACCATCGGGTTGCTCACTTTCAGGCTGGGACGTCTTGTCTGGCGTCGAAGAGGGCTGTGCACCTTCAGTGGCTCCGTCCGTCTTCTTGGGTCCGTCAGCACTTCCTTGAGTCGTATCAGGCGTCGAGGAGGGGGAGTCACCCACAGTGCTTCCGTCAGTCGTGCCGGGTTGATCAGTGTCCTCATGGATGGGCTTCGTGTTTGAGCCGCTGGAGCCGTCGTTGGGTTGTTCGGTCGTGGGATTGGAGTCCTGAGGAGCAGTCTCGCTGCCTCCTTGCTTCGAGTCGGGTTTGGACGCGCTGTTCGTGTCCGATGGAGTGCTGCTCGCGCCGTCTGGCGAGGTGCTCGTTGGACTGGTGGAGGATTTGCTGCCCTCGGGCTGAGTCTTGCTGCTTCC